TGGGGCTTGGGGCCCTTGTTTGACCCTGGGTAAGGACTGGTATTGTGCTGGTTAGGGCGTCAAGGTGTTGCGCGACCTGCCACCTAAGCGGCGACCGGTTCCTGTTGCCTCTGGAGACGGTGTACTTTTGCAGGGTTTTTCTTTTTTTATTTTCATTTGCCTGGTGGGGGTCTGCCTAGTGTGGCTATTGTTGTTCCACTGGTAATGTTTGGTGGCCCTCTGCTAGGCCCCCGTGATTGTACACTTCGCAGGGGTTTTCAGTGATGTCCTATACCCCCATGTTAGTTTTGGGTTTTAACCGGTTAGCAACACCTTGCCCGGGCATCCCGTAGTTGTTACCCTACGGGCCCTGGAAACCCCTGTCGGGGCTCGGTGGACCATTGAATGTGTCTTCCGGGTTCCAATTCGTCGGGATCGTTGGTTGCTGTGCCCTTGTCTCCGGGTGACAGTCGCCACTTTTACCTCCGTCATGTTGCCTGTTGGGTTGCTGACACCTTGACCCGGAGTCTTGCGAGAGATATTCTTTGCTTGTTCTCCAGTACTCTCCTGATGTTATTACTGTTCAGAGTACAGGCGGCATCCGTGTTGCAAGCTAGGTTAGGTTGCTGCAATGTGCTAGGTTGGTTCCCACTCGGATGTCCCGGGTTTTGGTTAGGTGCTGTTCGCCCCTTTCCCTCCCTGTTTCCGGCTCCGGACCGTTTGCGGTTTTCGGGGTGGGGGCGGGGTTTAGTTGGGGCCGAGACTCGGGCGGTTTCGGGGGCTGCCCCGTTCGGGTTGGGGGCGTAGGTTTTCGAGCCTGTTCCTCCTGCCAAGGCTTCTGGGTCTTACCAGTGGCCCTTTCTTGCTGCCTTTCCCATGGACTCTTCCTTTTCTTTAAGGGCGGAGGGCTTGGAGGATGGCTCTGCCCCGGGGCCTGTGTTGCGGGTTCCCGGGCTGTGGGGGATGCCTGCAAGCAGTTCTGGGGCTGTTTGCCTCTGCCTGGGTTTTCTGCTTCTGGGCAGGGTTTTTTCCCCATCCAGTCTGCTTGCTTCCCACTTTTGCTGGCCTGTTTTCGTATATTTTGCGTTGGTCACAGCCCCCTGTTCTGGTGGCCATTTTCTTCTACCAGTTTCCCGGCGTGGCCACTAGGGCGGCGTTGCGGTTTGTTTACATGCTCCTGGGTGTGCGAGCGAGCGGCTTGGGTGAGTTTTTTCACCTTTTTCAGGGGTTTTATTCTCCTGTTGTCGTTTCTTTGCTTTTCTGGTGTTTTCTGCCTGTTTTCTGTTCCTCTGGGAAAGTTTGAGTGTTGATTTTACACCGGGTTTTCTGTTTTGTCTGTTTTGGGTCTGGGCCCTAGGGTTTGGGCTCAGTGTCCCTGTCTGTTTATGCTTGCTCCCACACCTTGTCCCTCAGTTTTCGGTCTGTTTTGACCGTTTCCCTGGGGGTTCTGTGTGGGGGGCTGTGCTTTGCCTTTCTGTGGTGTATCTCTGCCAGCAAATATGGTGGTTTGGGCTCCCCCTGGTTCGATTCCGGGTTCCTTTGGGTTCTTTGGTTTCATTCCGGATGTTTCTTCCTCTTGAGCCCCCTTTGTGGGTTCAGGGGGCTTTGTTTCCTCGTGTGTGTGACTTGGTTCAGCCTTATGGGGTTCTGGGGTCTGACTGGCTTGCAGACTGATCTTTTTGGGTCTTGGCACGTGTTGTGGTCATGCTTGGACTTTGAGGTTTTGTTGTCGAGGTGGACCTTTTGATGCAGTTTTGTGCCTTCTTCGCCTGGCCGGCGTGGTGCTCTCTGCCCACTGGTCGGCGGCTTGTAATTTTCTTTTCACGTGTATGTGTGTGTGTACACATGTACAGTACATGTACATGTGTACACACATGTACATGTGGATATTATGTACACATATGTACATAATATCCATAATATCTGGCGAAAATGAACCTCATACTCTCTGACCAAACTAAATTCCAAAGGGTAACGAAGGACATTACAGCCGAATTGAAAACAAAGGTAAACAGATTGATCGAAACTGTGAACGTCAAGAAATCCGGACTTCACCTGCCAAAGATTATTGGGGAGTACAAACTTGGGTATGTGTATGGAAATGTCAAGACACACAAGCCTGGAAACCCACTTCGGCCAATCATCAGCTAGATACCCACACCCACGTACAGACTGGCAAAGCGACTCAACGGCTTGCAGACTCCTTATGTACCTTGTGCTTTCAGCGTGAAGTCTCCAAAGGAATTTGTTGACTTTCTGCGGGGAACACGGGCCACAGGGATAAGAGTCTCATTGGACGTAGAATCACTGTTTACCAACGTACCTGTGGATGAAACAATCGGGATGATAGCGAACAGAGTGTATCGTGATCTGGCCTGTACTCCTCTTGACATACCAGAAAACAATCTAAGGAAACTACTTCAAGCTTGTACTAAAGAGGCACCCTTCTTGAGCCCTGATGGGCACATGTATAAGCAAGTAATGGGGTTGCCATGGGTTCTCCCCTAGGTGTCCTGTTTGCGAACTTCTACATGGGTACCATCGAACAGAAGATCTTAGTTGACATGAACTTGAAACCGGCCATATACTGCAGGTATGTTGACAACATTTTTACACAGGTACCTGATGTCAGACGTCTGCAGGAGCTGAAGGAGGCATTCGAGCGGAATTTTGTGTTGTCTCACGAGATGGAGAAGGATGGGAAGCTGCCCTTTCCTGATGTAACAGTCATGGAAAGGAGCGGAGGTTTCCACACTGCAGTCTACACTGAGGAAACAAACATAGGAATGTGCCCCAATGCTAACAGTGACTGCCCAGACAGGTACAAGAGGAGTGTTGTCAACGCTTACGTCGACCGTGCTCTCAGCCACAGCTCAGGATGGAAGCAAGTCGATGAAGAACTCTGTAGGGTAAGGCAGGTCCTAGTCAACAACGGCTTCTCCAATGGTTTCGTTGAAGACATCATAAAAAGGAAGGTGAAATGCCATGCAACCTCTGAAGAGTCAACAAACACAACACCTGTACCCCCTATTAGACTATTTTACAGGAACTTCTTTTCTACAGCTCATAAAATGGAGGAAAGGGTCCTGAAAGATATTGTTAATAGGAACGTAGACCATGGCCATAGACATTCAGGCCATTAAAGTAGCCTGCTCTGAGCACTCTAATTTTTTCAAAGTAAACGTCCCTACAGACAAAAATCAGGATACAATTGACGATTTACTATAAAACCCAAAAAACGGCCAACCTACTCATGAAAAAATCTCCAGACACAAAGCAGAACGCCTTAAAGGAGACTAACGTCGTCTATGCCTTCAAATGCCCACTTGGGGACTGTAAGCCCCAAAGAACTCAGTATATAGGCAAGACAGGTTTTCTTGCTCTTTGTACGTTGTCTTCTCTTTCGCATTGGGTTGTCTTGCCCTTTCCTGGGTTTTCAGGACTACAGTTATTTGATGTTTCTTACTGTCGCCTCGTTTTGTGTGGAGCTGGTGGAGCCACTCCGGCTGGCATTCGGGGTGGACGTCACATCCGCCCCGTTCCGTACGCTTTCTCGTGTTTTGTTTCACCTCTGGCCTGCTCATACATTGCCTGAGCAGTGCTGGTCCTTGATCAGGGTGCCCTCTTATCTTTTCCTCAGTTTGTGGTAGCCCCTTCAGTTCAGGTTTCTGCTCTTTGGTACTGGTGGTAGGTTTGTACGTTTGCAGCCTTTCTCCGTCCTTCTGGCAACGGTCGAGACGGCTGCTTACCGAGGTAGGGGGGGTCCTTGGGTTATTGATGCTTGATTGGTTCGGCCGGGGGTGCATCCTGTGTTGTCCGGTTGCGCTTTTTTTTGCCGTTACCTGCATACCGTGTCTGGGGATGCGCTTTGGGTTGATCCGGTTCCCCTCGTTTCCTGTTTCAGGGCTCGGGTCTCCCAGGTCATCCGCAGAGTTTTTAGGTCTTCCAGCCTGCGATCTATCTTTGCGCTCGTGCTGTTTGGACGTTTGCAACTTTCGCTGCTGTGTTGGTGATGTCTAGGGCTTATTTTGGGCGCGAGTATTTGAGGGTCGCACAGGTTCCTGGCCACCCATTCTTTATGCGCTCGTCTGCTCCTGTGCGTTCTTGTTGCCTTGGGTCACAGGTTGCAGCCTGTTGTCTCGGCTTCGCGTTGCGGAGTTTGTGGCAGCCGTCTCCCGGGTCAGCCTTTTTTTTTCCTTCTCTTTGGGTATGAAGCTCCAGGGAGCCATAGGAGCTCCCCACAGAAAACCAGCGTTGAATGTAATGAAACGCCATTTTCTGGGTGAGCCCCGGAGGCTCCCTGGCAACCCTTCCTCCCACTGGTCGGAGGTTTTTTCGCATTAGTTGAAGCTTGGCTTCGAAACTGATGCTAGGCAGCTGATGCGGTGTGGTTCGGGGTTCCCCCCCTCACCCTGCTGTGAGGGACGATCAACCTCCCCCTGCTGCGAGGGAGGGCTGCGCGGACGATCGGCGCGGCAGTAGAGTGTGATGTTTGCTTGTTTCCTTGGGATTGTAGGGAGTTTCTACCTCTGTTTGTTGTTTTTAGTTTTTACCGTGTGGGGTTTGTTTTGTTATGCCTACCTTTCTGGGTGCCTAACCTCGGTCGATAGCAAATTAGGAAAACCACAACCACAAGGGGGTTTTCCAGGGCCATTGCTCCCTGAAACCTCTCTGAAGGGGCCAGGTTCTGGCGCTGGTCCCTGGTAGGTCTGAACTCCTTAGCTAATGTCCCGGTCTAATATAACATACACTAGCCCGATAAGCTCCAGGCAGCCTTCGGGGCTCACCCAGAAAATGGCGTTTCATTACATTCAATGCTTTTTTTTTTTTTTTTAATATTTTGTTCCTATTTAATGCACGAAATGTTTCATTGCATGGAAGTTGAAGCTGCCTCCTCTTTCTAGCCTTATCCTTTCTATATCCCAGCTCTTACATTTGTTCTTTCTTGGGGCAGCATAACTTTCCTTCTTTCTTTTGACATAACTTATCTGTTAAAATTTCATGACTGATTTTATATTTAGGCTGAATTGTTCAGATGTCCAACCGAGAAGAAAGAAGCAACACCCAAGCTTCGAATGCCAGAGTTTATAAGCAAAGAATCCCGAGGGTGTGACTACCTAGTACTGTGGCTCGATTGTGATAAAGAGGGAGAAAACATTTGTTTTGAGGTCATTGCCTGTGTTGAAAATTCTATGCCTAGGCCAACATTCAGAGAACAGGTGAGTTATTGCAGTGTTTAATTAATATTTTATTAAATATATTCTGGACAAACTGCATTTAAAAGTTTTATTAAATGTAAAGCAATAAATTAAGGTATTTTTTCTTAATGAAAAAAATAAATGCTTGTGATATACATACTGTAGTTGGAATGATTTAAGATACAGTATCCACATTGGCTTTTTGAAGAGGCAGGTTTAATTTCCATTCTAATAAGCACAAGAATTGATTAGAATGGGAATACCATATTTTGTTTAAGACAATTTTTATTGTGGTTGTAGGTTGTTTTGGCTAAGTTATTAATGGGGTTAGAGATATGGTTCTGATGTTATTAAAGGCTTATGTGAGATGTGGAAATGCTTTGTAATTTATGAGAATGGAAAGAAATTCACTGAGTGTGAGAGGCATCTGTATAAGGAAACATCATAATGTGTGCATGGCTGTTGAATTCTGTCCTCTGAAAATATAGTTCTGTAGAAAAAATGAGGATAGTAGGTATACATCATCATTAAATTGTTTTAAATAAAGAAGTTTTGTGAAAATAATCCAAGCTAATGCCACAGAACTAACCCCACTGCTCTCATCTCCCCTCCTTACGGCATCCTATGTTCATTACATTTATGTTTGTTGTACTCTGTTCTCATTATGTTGTATGAATTCATTATTCTCCTTGGAGTCATAATGGTACTGGGTGTCTGTCAATGAGATATTCTAGTCTGTTGATATCTTTCTTGATTGTAAAACATGTCTAGAACGGTTTGATATGTATAATTCACTTTCTGAGGGGAGCTCCTACGGCTCCCTAGAGCTTATCGGTCTAATGTATGTTATATTAGACCGGGATAACATACATTAGCCCGATAAGCTCTAGGGAGCCTCCGGGGCTCGCCCAGAAAATGGCGTTTCATTACATTCAATGCTGGTTTTCCGAGGGGAGCCCCTACAGCTCCCTGGAACTTGTCGGGTTAATGTATGTTATTCCGGTCTAATATAACATATATTAGCCCGATGAGCTCCAGGGAGCCTCTGGGGCTCGCCCAGAAAATGGCGTTTCATTACATTCAATGCTTTTTTTTATATTTGACTTAAATTACAGACAATCTTCCGTGCCAAGTTTTCTGCAATCACAGAGCGGGACATTAAAGCTGCTATGAATGCCCTTGTAGAACCTAATGAAAATGAATCAAGATCAGTTGATGCCAGACAGGAGCTGGATCTTCGTATTGGATGTGCCTTTACTAGATTCCAAACTAAGTTTTTCCAGGTGGGATTTTTAGTACTTTTCAGTTATTTGAATGCAACTGAGCTGGAATCTGTGATTGGAATTTATTTTCTTGTTTTAACACTTTCGCGCTCTCGGCGTTCAAAAAAAAACAATACCCCAGATGCTTTCGGCACTTCGCGCGCCTATGCGGTAAGACCGAAAAAGTGTACACTCTTTTGACTGTCCTGACAATAATTGAAGGCGCACGTATTTAAATTTGGTATCACTGTGTTCGCAATGAAATTGTCTATAAGAGCATACCTATAAAATGCCGCCCAAGCATAAGGAGTATCAACACCAAATAAAAAACTATGCAGATCACTCGCCGAGAGCGCCAAACAGCAACAAAATGTTTCCACTCTCTTAATGGTTGCGAAGCCTACAGTTGTCCTACATCGCTAATTTTGGTGTCATTGGAATCGCAATAAAATTCTCTACATGGACATATGCATATGAATGTTTAATATAGGTAATTGCCCACCCACAAGAGTGTGTGAAGTGGAGAGTACTTAGCCGCGAGCGCACTGGCGAAAACACGGGGGGAAATCATGCTTGGAAAGTTTATACGTTTCCTGACCCTACTTTTCTATGTACGTATTTCTTTTTTATACCAATGTGTTCGCAATAAAATTTTCTATAAGATGAACTGTATAACATTTGTACAAAGCATGTGTAAGAGAAGCGCCAAATATAGAACCACGTCGCTCAGTATGCGTTCGTGGCAGAAACGAACGCATTGTTTTCGTTCGTTTGATGTTTGTCATGTTTATACTTGTTGAAACATTTTATAATTTGTATGACAGTGATCGCAGTAAAATTCCCTACACAGACGTATACATAACACATACAAATATTTCCCACGTGTTGGATATATCAACGGCTAAAGAGAACCCACTGCCACACGCTTGCCACACCCCCAAACATACTTTGTGTATTTTATTTTTTACTCATAGAAGTTTATGTGATATAATATTCATTCTGGTACCAAAAAATTCGCAAATAAATTCTCTACAAAAGTATCCCCATCCATTTCGGTTAAAAAATGGAATTTATAGAAATATTTTTTCGATGGACGAGAAAAGTAGGCTGTTATGCGGAATCGTAAGAAAAAACGGCGACGAGTTATCTCTAATCTAAAGCGCGAAAGTGTTAATAGCATTACTGGGTATTTTAGTCCTTGATAATTAATTTCTGTATTTTCATTTAAAATTTGTATGGATAGTGAGGAGTTAATAAGAGTGTAGCAATTATAAAGAAAAATATTGGACACTAGCAACTGCCATTGTATTAAGGCTTTTATGTATGTCAATTTTATTAGTGACAAAATTTGGGTATACAATACTGTATATCAAAATACTGTAAAATGTATTCATATTTCAAGAAAATATGAAGAATGTAAAAATATAAAATTCTGTTCTGCATTTGATGGCACTGGTGAATGTAGTGATAGGCGTTAATTTGCTGACATCTTCCCTCTGTGTTGGAGTTTTGGCAATCGTTTGTATTTGTACAAGAGATTTTTTTTTTTTCTGGGGGGAGTCCTGTCGGCTCCCCGGAGCTATCCAGGCTGAATAGATATGTATAACTTTCTGTCAATGGCATCAGTCAATGTGCATGGAGTTCTTGCCTACCGGGGACCACGAGCCAAAACCTGGCACCCCCCTCAGAGAGGCGCAAGGAACACTGGCCTATAGAAACCCCCATGTGGTTGTGAGCATTCTGTGTCTGCCATCGACCTGGTCTGACACCCAGAAAGGTAGGCATCCCAAAACAAACCCCTATTCTGGTGAAACTATTGCTACCGAAAGTCGAACGAATGGGCAGAACTCCCGAAACAAACGATAATTTGCAAACCAGCATGACGTCATCACGTTGCCGCGCCACTGTCTGCAACCCTCCCCCCTTCCCTGGGAGGGGGAAGGGGGAGCCCCAGACCAGTCTTTTACTGCTCGGTACTTGGCTGCCCTTGGGGTCAGCTGGGGTTTTGTTGCCCATGTTTTTGTCTCTGGGTAGGAGGTAGTTTTCGTCACTGGTAGGGGTGCGGGGTACTGCACAGCTCGTTATCACTTGTTATAGCGGCCGGCTCTGTTCCGCCTGGGTATGTTGTCCTCTTGTGGGGTTTTTCTTTTGTTTCTTGTTGTTCCTGCCTGGTGGGAGGGAAGGGGGTTGTCTGCCTTGCCCTCCTCCTCTGTTGTTGGGGTTGGTGTAATTCTTCTGTGTATTGGTGGTATGCCCTGCTAGGCCTCTGTGAATGGACAGGTCTCAGGGGTTCAACTTTTAGAAGTTCGTTTGGTAGACTTGGGTGCCAGAAGCCAGCTGGGCTTCCCTTGGCATGTTAAGAAGGCTTAGGGCCCTGGGAAACCCCACGGGGGCCCCATGGTCCGATGGATGTGACCCTTGAGTCCCCTCTTGCTTCGTGCGAGATTGAAGGTTGCTCTGTCCCCTTTCCCTGTCTCAGGGGTGACACTCACCGGTTGTGCCTCTGCCATGTTGCCTGTTGGGTCAGCATTTCTTTTGACCCAGAGTTGTGCGATGTTTGTCTGTACATGCTCCAGTTCACCCAAGCTACTGACCACGATATGAGGGTGCAGGCAGCACAGGCGTTGCATGCTAGGTTTAGGTTGCTGCAACACGCTAGGTTGGTTGCAGCCCTGGATGCCCCAAGACTGACCCATTTTGGTTATAGGGACCCGGACTTGTGGGTGGGAGTTGCTTCGGCTCTGGTTCTGTCTGCCCCACCTAGTCCTTTCCCTTCTGTTGTGCATCCGGTTCCTCCTCCCTTGCTTCGGGCTCCGAAACGTCTTGAGGGTTTTGGATTCAAGGCAGGGTCTAGTTGGTGTTGAGACTCGGGCGGTCTCAGGGGAGTCCCTTTCTGGGGTTGCGGCAGAAGCATTCGAGCCTGGTTTTCCAGCCGGAGCTTCTGAGTCTGACCAGTGGGCCCCCTTCGTTCCTGCTTTTTCCTCTGCTCCCGCCTTTTCTTTAGAGGCCGGGGGTTTGGAGGCTGGGTCAGCCCCGGGTCTTCAGAGTGGGGTTTCCGGGGCAAGGGAGGGGTTGAATTGACGGCTTTGGGCCTCGTTGGACTCCGCCTGGGTTTTTATACCCTTGGAGCAGGGCTTGGTGTTATAAGGAGAGGGGTTCTCTTTCGCTCCCTCCTTGTATGAGTTGGATTTGGCGTCTTCCCTCTCCGGGTTTGGTTCTGTAATCCCATGTGTTCTTCGGTCCCATCCTTCTGGAGGTTTTCGGCTTCCTGCATCCCATCACAAGTGGTGCGGGTAGCCCTTGTGGCTTACCTCCTGCGCGACCCGGATTATGCTTTCGCGATGGATCCGCATTCCTTCGTGTATGGATCTTCGTGTCCGTACTGGGTTCGGTATGAAGTTCCGGAGTCGTCCTGGTTGGCAGACTGCCTGCTCTTCTCTTTGGAGGCTTGGCACACGTTCCGTTGGTCCCGCGCACTTGAGTGGAGGGAGGCTCAGACAGCGTTGCAGGTTTTCCTGGGGGCGACTTTGTGCATTTCAACGCTTGTTTGTTTGCTCCTGCCCTTTCGCGGGATGTTGGTGTGATGCAGTGTTACGGACCCGAGCCCAGCGTCCGAGCACGGAGCAGTGACGACCGCGCCATCTGTGGGTCAGCTCCCGAAACCCCCTCCAAATGGACGGCGCCATCTAGTGAGGACAGGATATACCAGCCACAAGGGCTGGTTTCCCGTCCTGATCAGCTCATAACACAGCCGCTGCTGACCTCTGGTGAGGTGACGCTTAGACAGCAACGCCATCTATGGAGTGGATAGGTGGGTGTTTGTGTCTAAGCCTGTAAGTGAGGTGCCCCAGAGTGTAACTAGTACTGATGACGTGTCTGATTACAGAGTCGACCTGGGACTGCTGTAATGGAAGTTGGATCAGTCTACCCAAGGCAGCCGTAGAACCTCCAAGTGTTAGCTGCAGAAGCTGTGAGTCACCCCCCGGATGAACACTGTTGTGTTAGCCTGCCTGTGAGGTGGCAGGACCTGGAATTGTCGTACCCGGGGCTGACTAGTGGAGAAGACTAACCACTGGGGTGTTGTGGTGAGGAGAGTGATCTGTGGAATCACACGAGGCTCCTCCCTAGGGCTCGCAACCCTAGTATCGGTCGTGGAGTGGCCTACGCAGCGTTGCTGATTGGAACCTGTCAGCTAAAGGCTGGATTTGTGGTTGACGGCCTCCACGACGGTGCACCCAGTGGGACTGTGGTTCAGCTGGCCTGTGGCCAGGGTAGACTCAAGAGAATCAAAGGATTCATCGTGAGGCCACAAGAGAACCAGGACCACTCGTCTTGAGCACCGTGAACGTCCAGAGTCTTCAGAGGAAGACCACGTTGTACATAATAGTGTTTATACCTCCCCCCATGTGATAATCTATATATTATTTATGGTGATGGTGATAATTATATTATTAAGTTTTTGCCTTTGTCTCCCTTCCCCTTTAATTTACTTGCGTTACGGAGCACACCCCTTGAAAGCCACTACTAGCTTGGGGCCGGATACCCAAACTCTACTACTGCGACCCGAGAGGGCCGTAACATGCAGCTTCATGTGCAGGTTCCTTCCCTTTTGGCTGCCTTGGTCCTGCTGGCTTCGGCCCTGCGTTTCTTTTCCCTCCTTGAGCTGTTCTCGGATTGGCGTGAGTTGGATGTAGAGGCGCTTGGGGCTGTCTCTGGGTCGGGTCCTCTGCCCTCGGCGGTGCGTGTGTCCTTTGCATTGTTGAGGCTGTTCGAGCCGCCTCTGCGGGATGCGGTTTCGCGGTTTTTTGCTTCTCGCCTCCCGTGTCGGCAGGTGGTGCTTGCTACTGCTGCTTTAGAATCCACTTGGGGCCCATGCTCTTTGGTTGTCTTCGCCCTTTTTCCTCTGTTGTGGTGCAATATTTACAGGGGGGCTTCAGCTAGTTACCAAGTCGTCCTATGTCCGACTTGGTGGTTCTTGAGGGAGGGAGGGGGGGTTGTGCCAGGGCTTGGGGTTCTTCCTGTCGTAGTAGGCCAGTGAGGCCAGATTCCGGGCAGGCGCAACCTCCAGTTTCGTCTTTTTCTATTCGGCGCGGGGATCGCCCTGTGCGGCACTTAGGTTCTCATAAGGCGTGTCGGCCCTTTCGCGGTTCGTCTCATTGACAGGGCGATGAGGGGGGGGGAGGCTCGCTCTGTTTGCTCGCGCCTGGTCCAGTGATTTGTGGGCTTATTTTAATTAATAAATCGATTTTAATTACATTATAAAATATCACATTGATGTTTTTTGGGGGTGGAACAGATTAATTGTATTTCCATTACTTTAAATGGGGAAATTCGTTTTCGCAAGACGAGCGTTTCACATGACGAGTTCGGTGCCAGAACGGATTAAATTCGTTAACCGAGGTTCCTCTGTATGAAGTTTCCTGGCAGTCCTTTCGTCATTTTTTCTCTTCATAGGTTGTCATCGGTTTTGGTTCAGATTGTTTTGTTTCACAAGCTGTCTTGTGCATTACTGTATTTCACCTATATCTGCGCATGCGCCACCCTGGTCATTGGACTGGGTGTTCTCCTTTTCTCTCTCCTCCTCGGTTTGTCATGGTTTATGCTACATGACTTGTTGATGGGAATTCAGCATCGGTGGGTGCAGCATGGCTTTATTTAGTGCATTCGTTGCTGGCGGATGCTGCACTTGTTGCCGGAACAACCGTGGACATCTTCAAGAGAAAACTGGACGGTTTTCTAAGAGAAGTTCCAGATCAGCCGGGCTGTGGTGGGTATGTGGCCCTTTGGGCCGCTCCAAGCAACAGCCTGGTGGACTAGACTCTCACAAATCGAGCCTGGCCTCGGGCCGGGCTTGGGGAGTAGAAGAACTCCCAGAACCCCATTAACCAGGTATCAACCAGGTTTAACAACCAGGTTGATGGGAATTCAGCATCAGCAGGTGCAGCACGGCTTGTAGGGCATTTGTTGCTGGCAGATGCTGCACGACTTGTTGATGGGAATTTAGCATCGGTGGATGCAGCATGGCTTGTAGGGCATTCGTTGCTGGCAGATGCTGCATAACTTGTTAAATTACCAGTGGGTGCAGCACGGGTTGTAGACGAAGATTTTTCATGGACCGTTGAATTCATGAATTTTTTAATTTTTGTATGAATCTGATTATCTTTGGCTAACATGCTGAGACAGTAATGTCCCTCAGAATTGATGCTAGCCGTGCAAGTCCACAGTAAACGATAAGAACACATGGCCCGACACTGTACATTCATGACTGAAAAAAAACCTAGTGCCTATACAGTACTATAAAACCTATTTAATAAAATAATAAAGAATTTCGCTTAATAACAATTATTTCCAAATATTTTATTAATAATAATTTATAATTTGCTTCATTAAATTGTATCTTTAAAAAAAAAAAAGTGAAGATTCAATTTTCGACTCTGGACGATTGAGGGTGGTGGTGTCTCACCATGTGAGGGGCCCGCCGATGCCAAAACAAAACACAAAACCCACCTATGGTTCTATCGACCGCCAGACCGGTATATGAGGCTCTAAATACCGGTCTCCCAAACTGGTCTATAGAACTGGCGGATCGATAAATAAGAGGCCGTTAAATCAAGTAGATAGTGTAATTTTATGGTAACAAGCACAACGTGGAACTCGGTAAAGATTTAACCACTTCTAGCGTGATGGATAACTAAATTTTAAATTTTCAGGGAAAGTATGGCAACCTTGACTCATCACTCATATCATTTGGACCTTGCCAGACTCCAACTTTAGGATTCTGTGTGGAACGGCATGATTTCATCCAGTCATTCAAGCCCGAGACATACTGGGTACTGCAGGTGAGATAATTAATTTCAAAATAATACTAACATGTACAGTATACTAATAGGAATAACTTTTAACAGGTCAGTAATGGGTGTAAATTTTCCTGAATCATGCTTTATAAATGTTTTTATCTCTTAACATTTCATGGTAAATTCCCAGTTTTTTATGAATAATTGTTTAAAATTTACCTTTTTCAGGTAAAAGTAGCAGTAACTGAAGAAAAACAGTTGTCATTAGATTGGGAGAGAGTTCGAAGCTTTGACAAAGATGTGGCAAATTTGTTTCTCAATATAGTGAAAGAACAGAAGCGTGCCAAGTAAGTTACAAGTTTATTTCCTTTGTGACATTATGTATGTTAACAGTAGTCTGTCATGTCTTTGTTAATTGCTTTCTACTTCATTATTTATGTTTATTTCCTTCCTTCCTTCCTTCCTTCCTTCCTTTCTTCTTTCCTTCCCTCCTTCCTTCCTTCCTTTCTTCTTTCCTTCCCTCCTTCCTTCCTTCCTTTCTTCTTTCCTTCCCTCCTTCCTTTCTTCTTTCCTTCCCTCCTTCCTTCCCTCCTTCCTTTCTTCTTTCCTTCCTTCCTTCCTTTCCTTTCTTCTTTCCTTTCCCTTTCCTTCTTTTCTTCCTTTCCTTCTTTCCTTTCCTTCCCTCCTTTCCTTTCTTCTTTCCTTCCTTCCTTTCCTTTTCTTCTTTCCTTCCTTCTTCTTCCTTCCTTCTCCCTTTCTTCTTTCCTTTCTTTCTCCTCCCTTTCCTTTCTTGCTCCCTCCCTCCTTTCTTCCTCCTCCCTCCCTTCGTTTTGTCCAGGACTGGGAACAACCTGGACACCCTCCGAAGGGACAAGGTTAACCTGAGCATGCCCGAGTCCAAACCCACAACGACTTGACGCAGAACTGGGGAAGTTGCCTCACCCAAAAGCCCTCGACCCCAAGAAAGGGAAAGGGACTGACCAACTCCACCACAGACCACGGGAAGAGAGATTGAGAATGGCCCACGAGTTATGGAATCAGGATCTGGGAAAACAAGCCAGAAATTCTCCTACATCAACATTGAAGGGATGAACTGCAACCAGGAGACCTGGGCAGAGACAGGGCCATGGGGACATTGATCATCTGAATCATCAACAGGTAGTCAAAATGCAGATACATAAGGAACTCTACAAAGGGTTTCAGGGGCCTTGGTACCCGAAAATCCGAAGAAAAATGGAATATTTACGAAAAATTACGAAAAATACTACAATGTTCTGGCAACACTGTGGTCTAAACCATTTAATGTTATCTTGAAAAATAACATAATTAGAGTCAAATTTCCCGCTGCAACTTTCGTGAATCTGGTCCTCGCGGCGTGAGTGCGCCGCGGGGTATTGTATCTTACGTTGTAGAAGTCTTATTTTTCGTAATAGCGTTGAAAATAGCATGTTATGCATAAAATGAATATAAACTCACTCATTGGCAACAGTATCGTGTGAGAGAAGGTGTTATGTGGCTCAGGCCCTCAGTCACTGTGTGTGTCTCATAGGGAGTGGATGTATCGCTGACGCGCTCTCACAATATCTCCCAGAACTCATGCTATTTTTGCTATTTGTACTGCAATATGACTTACCAAACGAACAAGAGAAAAGCATTGAAAGCTAGATGCATGCGAGCTCTCCATAGAAGGTACGAGCTGGCCGCAATGCGTAAATCACGCATTGTCACGAGTGACCGCGAGTAGAGTAACTTGTCGCGCGCTACGCAACTCCAACTTTTACAACTAGATCTGCCTTCACAGCCTTTATTTATTATTCAATTTACATGAAACTTGCACATTATATGTAGAGTTTACGCCTCTAAAAACGGTAGTAGCTTTTCTTATCTACGTAGATTTATTGATTTTATAAATAATGATACACTTCATTTTGTTGCATACGTTTTTGGGAAACTTTTAAAAATCTGTATTATTGCACTAAATACATCTGGGATACAGATCTTACTACCAAATCTTTATTATATAGTAAGGTCATAGCGAGTGTCGTAGAAATGATTTTGGTTCACAATTGTGGGCTGTGAAAGCAATTGAACATTGTTGAAATTTTTTTTGTTTTTTTTTTTTTTGTTTTTTCTCTCCTCTATTTAGGCTGAGATGCTGAAACTTGGCCTAGGTGCAGCACCTTTCACATGTATCAGGATAATAAATTATGAATACCCTACAACAACTCTCATAATTCCGGTGAGAAACCCCCTTCAGGAGACCAAGATAGTGAGATAAAAGTGCGGAAAAAATAGTGACATTGTATTTACTGAAGATAGGGTTAAAAAAAATGGAGGAACTAGATGTAACAAAATCAATGAAACCAGACTTCATCTTACCATGGCTGTTGAATGAGGCTGCAGAAGTACCAGTATTTTCAATAGTTATCTAAATTTTTTAATAAAATGCTAGACATAAGAGATCTTCATAATTTGGGAAAAAAATGTTCCAATATTCTAAAAAGGAGATGGACAGGAGGCACTAAATTACAGTCCAGTGTCATGAAGTATTCCCAGTAAAGTGCTGGAGAAAGTAATTGTTGTTGTTGAAAATGATGAAGCATCTGGAGGGGACCAATTTTGTAACAAGTGTAGCATGGATTTAGAAGGGGAAAATCTTGCCTTACAACCTTGATTGAGCTCTACATCAGGATTACTAAAATAAGATGGGATAAAGAAGGCTGCATATACTGTATTTTCCTAGATTGTCAAAAAGCATTTGGCATTGTTCCTTACAAAGGGCTGGTGCAAGATGGAGAAGCAGACTGGGATAACTTGGAAAATACTTAACTGGGTAAGGGAATACCT